GTCTCAGGTACTTGCCCACTCTAGCAATGTCAAGTATGGATTCTATGTCATGGACCTTTACTCCACTCAAATCATGATTGGTTAGTCCATAATACTTCTGCCACTATTACATCAGTATATCTTGCTGGAAGGTCACTGTTGTAGTTACAGAATTTTTAGATGGGTGATATTGATGATTTTATTTTTTATGTGTATGGATGTTTTGCCTTCATTGATTCACCACCTTGTGTCTATGGATGCCAGTAGAGGGTGTTCGATCCCTGGAACGTGGGCTACAGACAGTTGTTAGCTGCTTTATAGATGTTGGGATCAAAACCAAGGTACTCTGGAAGAACAGCTAGTGCTCTTTATCACTGAGACATCACGCCATCCTCATCAAGATCTCTCTAAATTCAATCATGGCATTTTTGTCTAGTATTGATAAACTTTTCAAGCATGGTTTTGGAGTGTTTGGTCACTGAAGCATAACTTTGTTGTCCTGACTTCTAAACAACCAAAGAAAATATAGCAGTATTTCTAATTCAGCATTTCTTCTGGATTCCCGAAAAGACTGTGATGACCTCTATAATTAGGAACAAAGGATGAACAAGAAAATCTAGAGTCAGTTTCATCTTGACTGAAATGCTTCCTTTTAAAGTAGCATTGAGAGGAAGCTATTGAATTACTTTTTCTTACTGCTATCATCATTATTATCCTGATGCTTAGATTAGTGCCTTTAGACATTAATATAAAGATAATGGCATTTGGTTTTTATGGATCAACTCCTCCAGAAGGTATTCAGTGGAAAGTTTTGGCTTTTAATGAATTAAGTAATGTACCAACAGTTAGAAGCTCATCTATTTTAAGCAAAATTCTCACTTCATCTTGGCTGTATTACAGTTTTGTATCATCATACAGAATCTGTGTTACATTAAGTTTTCCTCTCTATAATGAAGAATAGATTCAGTGGTTTAGCACATGGCTCTCATGTTATCTTTTACCTTCAAAGTATGAGAAAAAGATGCTAATCCCTGTCTAACCTTGTTGTAGTTTAACTGTTATGACATAGAGACAGGGCTATCATAACTCTTCTATGCATAGGAAACTGCACCTTGAGATTGGGGAGTATGTCAGTGTACAGTTGTTACAATTGCCAACTCTGAGCCACCTTCTGGTACTATGACACCATGGTTCTCATGTATCACATGGAAATACATAATAGAGATTCTTTTTTAAAAGAATTAAGTGAATTTTTAAAGTTCCATGAAAACAAATGTGTGAACCTGGAACTAGTCTGGTATGTTGCAACTTACAGCAATGAATCCAGTCAGCAAAGTACACCTCGAACTGAGAGGCTGAGCTATAAACCCCAGGCTTGAAGACATGCCTCTCAGCACTACCATTATTACTACACAGGAGCAAAAGGAGTAGCTTCCTCCATTAGGAACCAAAGTTTAAATGACTTCCTGGTGTTAAATGCTAGATGCTTTGCATATTCCGAGTACAACAAGAAATGCTATGAACAGTTACTGAAACAGGTAGAATGGATTGATCTCAAAACCAGGAGATGTAAGCTTCAGGTCTGCTTACTTGCATCAACCCTTTCTGAAGCCCAGGAGTTAGTCAGATTTCTGTCACTATGACCAAACACCTGATACGAAAGGCATGGAAAGATGAAGCGTTTATTTTGGCACACAGTCTCAGAGGTTTCAGGACATGATTACTTGCCTCTACCTTAGGCCTTTGATAAAGCAGAGTATCACGGCAACAGGAAAATGTGACAGAAAAGGCTACTTATCTCATGGAAGCCAGGAAGTTGTGGGAGGGAGTTAGGATAGGAGATATCCCCTCAAGGATAAACCCAGGAGCCCTGCCTCTCCTGATTATGATTTATCTCCCAGTATTTCTACTATGTCCCAAAAGCTCCATTATCTTGGGACTAAGACTTTGGCTTTGCGGGACATTTACAGTCCCTTTCATAACTACTAGGTTTAGGGAAAGGGTGGGTTCAAGAGAGGCCTAAGTTGGATCTTCCTTCAGATAGTAACTCCAGCATGGCAGGAGTTACCTCTAGTTGTCTCAGTTTAAGACTTTTCTACCTGGACGTCCTGTTTCCAAAAAGGATGGGCCCTCACTTTACAATTTGACATTAACAGCTATATATTTAAAAATCTGATATGTATAATTTGATTTTTTTTCTTAAGAAGGATCTACCAAATTGCTCAAGCTTTCCACAAACCTAGGATCCATTTTTATAGAGGATATGAATTTTTGACAATGAAGTCAAGCATACAATAAAAATGGTTTCAGCTTGCTATTGTTAAAGTTATTTACTATTTGAACATGTTTTATTTTTTTGCTGAGGGGAGGGGAGAATTCTGGTTAATTCTGAGATCTAGCCAGATTCCAAGTAGAGTTGATCTTCTTCTAGGCTCTCGGTCTCTGATTCACCAGTGTTCCTGTCTTGTCTAGAAGAATTGTCTGGGAGACTTTCTTCTGTTCTGACATCTCTATTTTGCTGAACTTCTGCTTGGTTTCTTTCATGTGCTTTAGGATATAGAATGGTGCCTTTATTCTTGGGCAACCTCTTTTTGCTTCATATTGTGGATGGTATGATGGCTTCATCTCTGGCCACATTTTTGCAAAAACACTGTGTTTTCAGTGTTTTAGGCTAGTGAGTTTCATTTTAAGTCATGCTTTCTTGCCTAGACTGACACCAGAACCTGAGCTTAAATGATCAGTTTCTTGGAAGCCATGAATACCAACAGTTATATGTGTTACTTGGGCCTTGCTCTTTGAAATCTTAAAAGCTAATGCTCATGGGGCTGAAAATGTCAAACTGTCTTGACTATGAAAAGCCAGTTTTTGAATCTTGAAAGACCATCATTGAATTTTCTGTTCTGGTTCTGATGTGACTTCTCCTTCTAGAAGCAGTCAGCATTCTGATAGTTCAAGGAATTGGTTAGTGACTAACCTATTCCATTATGGCATTTCAGTAGTTATAAAGCAGACAGTGCCAAAAGTGCCTGCACTTGTTACTTTATCTGACTGTGGGGAAGTATTCTAAGATTCTGAATTGGACTACACTTTCCTTTATGTTATCTAGAGTTCTCACTGGTAAGCCATAAAGTGGTTTTGGTTAGGAAACAGTCAGACTTGGGGGAGGGGTAATTTTAAGTATCTAGAGTGTAAGAAACAAGCTGCAAGCTTTCACTTTTATCGCCTGACAAGTATGTCCCATTTTGCACATTTAATGTCAGATGTTCTGGATTTGACCTTAATGGTTCCTGTCACTGATGAAGAGTGTCTTTGCTTGCACCTTTCAAAACTACTGAAATTTAGGTATTTTTATATATATATTTACTTATTCATATAGTCATTTGTTTTTATTCAAATAATACCTATTATTCAAATATTATATGTTTCAGAAATATCAACTAAAAAGTAATCACAATCATTTAGGGCAGTATTTTGTTAAAAACCTTGACTGCCCTTAAAGTGTCCAAGTTTATTTATTTCTGTATGTACTAAATATATACTTTATTGAATATCGTATTGAAAGATTTATGTCAGATTTTTGCATTAATTTTTCTTGAGGAAATATGAACAACCATCTATGAAAAGACAGATGAAAGTAAGAATTTCACCAAAGTCTCAATTGGTGAACATTGAGTTTACCGGGCTTAAAGTAAGCATAGATGACAGGTTACTTATAGGCCATAGGAAAACGTAAAACACTTTGACTACCACAAATTTCAGCTCCATCATGGATGATGACCTCCCCCTCTTAGTTAACTTCCCACTTCCTTTCTTCCTATATACTCTAGGTTCTTCCAAGATTACTTGCATCTGAAGGGGACAGGGGACGTTTAATTAGGGTTTATATTTCTGTGAAGAGACACCATGACCACAGTAACTCTTATAATTGAAAACGTCTAATTGAGGTGGTTTGCAGTTCAGGGGTTTAGTCCATTATCATCATGACAGACCGTGGTGGTGTACAAGCAGACATGGTGCTAGAGAAAGAGCTGAGAGTCCTACATCTTCAACCACAGGCAACAAAAACTAGGCATAATTTAGGAGACTTCAAAGCCCGTCCCCCAAAGGGACAAACTTTCTCCAATGAGGCCACACCTACTTTAACAAGGCCACACCTCTTAATAGTGCCACTCTCTATGAGCTTACAGGGGCCAATTACATTCAAACTACCACAGAGGGGAAGCAAGACAGACTGATGATTGCTCCAGGTAAGGGTCCAGGACTCCTGTCCTCCCTTCCTATTACCATAGACCTAGCTGTCAGTGTTTATTAATCTGCTTATTTTATCACATGGCCACTAGACACAAGGATATCTCTTCTCTAAAAGGATGAAATAGTCATGTTATAGCAAGAAGAAGCCACACTATAACCATAAATGCATATATATACAACCTTTATATATATTCACATTTTTCTAATGATGGAAATTTATTTTTAAGTAAATTATTAACCAGTGTAAAGTTTTACCTGTCTGGGCAATGACTTAAATTGGAGCATTGTGGACTCAGTAAAAATTGACTAAGCATCAGGAGTCTACTCATAACTAAGTCAACATATAGAATTGAAGGAAAAGACAGAACTCTCTGCAGAAGTTTACAAGTGTGCTATATTTTATTATAACATACTAACTGCACATTGTTGTGCAGTACTTTCACAATGGGGGAATATTTCTCTTTGACATCATCTGTGCCCTTGAGAATATTTTTGTTATTTGTGTGTAAACTATGTAACTGAAATTCAGGCAAACACAAAAATAAACAGGTCTCTACAGAACCAAATTATATAATTCTTAGTTGATTCTATGGTTAAGCTTTTAATTATATCTAATTATTTCCTGCTACTTCACTGAAAACCCTGACAAATAACCAAGTGACAGGTAGCTTGCGTAATAATTTGCAAGTTTTATTTAGGCAATATCAAATTAATTTATGGCACTGTCTACAGTTCTCCAACAAACAGACATAATGTTATTTTCATTTCAGATGCGATCTGTGAGCAGAGTCTTTAAGTTCATTGATATACCAAAAGAAGAAAGTGAGTGTTCCAAGATAATGAAAGGACTACATCCCGAAGAATTATCTCAAGTTTTAGTTATTGAGAATGAACATGTGAAGAAAGCTGATATCTGGCCATCTAAGGGAGAAATGGTTGTCAAAGACCTCACTGTGAAATATGGGAATGACAAGAATGCCATATTAGAGAACATTTCTTTTTCAATACGTCCTGGCCAGAGGGTGAGATTTCAACATTACTTTCTTTGTTAGTGAGTTTCCATATGTTCAGTGAGTCCCAACAGCATTCGCAATGTTAGTAAAACCCATCCGTAACATCATTATTCTGGATACATAGTTGAAGGTGTTACTGTGGGAAGTCATTGTGTTCCATGTGAAATTTAAATTGCAGAATCCTTAATCTTTACAATAGGTTTATTACAAATGTGACTATACTTGAATACAACTGTTCTTGTGAAATATGCAATTAACTATAGATATTCTGACTGTAGATGCCCTTAAACATATAACATGTGCCAAAAAATACAGCCATCACTATAAACAGTAGCAACAAATCAGTTAATCAGCACAGTGTAACTTTATCTATGCCTTAATTAATTTATATGAAACTTTAAACTTGACTTTCTATGGACAGTGTGTAGGTGTGTCTTAGTCCTTTGGGTCACCCTGTCAGCCTCTGTCTTTCAAGTAGTGCATTTAGACCCTGCACATCTACAGTGGCGAGAACATTGCACTTACAGCTTCTTCTCACTCTAAGTTCCCTACTCTTGTTCTTTATTCCCATTTTGATTTTCAGTCCTTATCTTTCTGTTGTTCTTAATGAGTCTTTTATGAATTCAAGTCTTTCTCTTTTCTTATCACAGTTAATTCTACTTTTGTGACTTTCAGTTTTCTCTAGAGTTGACAATATATATTTACAACGAATCCAGATCCATTTGAAAATAAAACTGTTATAACATAAATACCATCAATACCTTATTGTTCCAATTTCTTCCTTCTGTGTCTTACATATTGTCTGTGCTTCCTTTCTTGTATTTACATATCCCGAGTGAGCAAATACATGTTAAAATGTCTTTAAGTAAATATTTCTCTTAGATCCATTAAGAGTAAGAAAAGCAAGATTTCTCATTTTATTGCCACTTCATTTAATTTCCAAAGTGCTTCCTTTCATCCTTTAGGTCCACGTTTGTAATTTCTTATAGATCTGAGTTGGATCTTTCCTTTTCTTTGAAGAACTTCTCTTAGCATGTCTTCCAAAACAAGTCTGTTGAAAACACATTGCCTGTATGTTTGTTTGGTAGCTTTTAACTTGGCCTTCACTTTTAAAAGACAGCTTCACAAGCTGCACAATCCCAATTCAGTGGGTTTTGCCTTTCCTCGTTGATTCCTGTCATCTCTTGGTTATATGGCATCTATAAAGTTCTAAGTAAGTCTTATGTCAGTTTTTATAATAATGTATTTCTCCCTTGGGCTGTCTTCAAGATATTTACTCTGATAATTTTTGTATCTTCAAGATAATTGCTGTGGTATGGTTCTTGGGCTTTGAGTAATATTCTGCATGTTTTTCTCTGTATATGTATTGAATATATGATACCAGTTTTGAGGGGGATTTTTGGTAACTATTGTTTGAAATGTTCCCCTCTTTCCTTTATTTCCAGCATCCTTTGTCCTTCTTTCCTTCACCTTTCTTTTTTTTTGGTATTTTTTATATACACATACATTTTTCCTAGTTGTGTCATGTTTCTTGGCTGTCCTGTCATTTTTTTTCCTGAGGCGTTTTTGATGTTGGCTGCTTTTGTTGACATAACCTCAAAGTGAAACATATCTAAGCTGTTGATGACATCATCAAGGCATTCTTTATTTTTGTTGGAGCACTTTTTTTCTCTATGCTTTTAGAATTGTTTTGATTCTGTCTTTAGAATGGCCCCTTTCTGTTTACTAATGATCCATCTGTATCTATATACTAACTTCCCATTATAAACCTTTATCATATTCATCATAGTTGTTTTACATCCCAGTCTCTTTTATAGCGTCTTTGCCTCATCTGATTTTCTCCTGTCCTAATATTGCTTATTAACTTTTTCCCTTTTAGCATGCTCAGTAATTGTTTTTTTTGAAAGGTAAACATGCATGATGTGCTTGGGAAAAGGGACTGTGTTAATAGACTGGAGACATCTTGGGTTGCAGAGTTCCATAGCCCTGTGACTAAGTCTTAGTAGGTTATAGAAATTGTGCTTCAGCTGTGAATTTGTAAGTGCCACCAACTTATTCATCCCTTTAGATAGTAGAGAATATTTAGAGTGGACTGGCACTAAAATATTTCTATTTCTTAAAGTCAGTTAGGCTGGGCTCTGGAAAAAAAAGTCTCCAGCAAGTCAGAGATAATAAAATAGTCTCAGTCAAGAGCAGGTCTTAAATAGAAGACAGTGTTCTGGCCTATCTCAGAATGGCCACTCGCTCCTGTGGTTGCTTGAAACCTGGAGGAATTTCCTCTAGTCTTCAGGAGAGGTCGCTGGAGGGTACTGGGGATTGTTTCCCCCTCCATAGTCCACAATAAACCCGCCGGGTCAGTTTTCAGTAGTCTTCTAGTACTGGCTACCTCAAGATTTCTGCTCACTGGTTTCTGCCTTGTAAGTTGTGACTGTATCTGATTGTCTTTCTCTCCAGTTGTAGGAACACAGTCCTTGCATCTGTAGCTTTACCTCTCTGTCAGAAAATCTGTTGTTCAATCTTTTTAATTAAGTTGGAATGACTTGCCTGGCAGTGGTGGTGGACCTGTTTGTCCCAGACCCAGCAGGCAGAAACAGGTGGATCTCTATGAGTTCAAGGTCAGCTGTTACACAGAGAAATCTTATCTTGAAAATTCAAAAAAGAAAAAAAAAAGGAGTGATTTGTTTATGTTCAAACTCCACATGAAAGAATGACTTAATCCTTTCTTAGAATTGAAATTCACTCTTAAAATAGCATTCTGAACAGTTGTCTGCAAAATGTCAGTTCCATAGCCTTACCTTTAAATTATAATAGTATGCTTCAAACATAGTTCTCATATGCTGAATTGAACTAAGGAATAAATTCAAATATATCAAATATTTTTGATGTTGCAAAACATTATGTAAAATCAATTTCAGGCAAATTACTTAATTAAAATGCAGTTGATCAGAGCTGTAATACTAATCCTAATTTGTAATGAATTTTGTATTCTTAGCTATATGAAAAAATCAATATATTTTTTAAAGATTTATTTGTTATGTATACAACATTCTGCCACCATGTGTGCCTGCACACAAGAAGAGGGCACCAGATTTCATTATAGATGGCTGTGAACCACCATGTGGTTGCTGGGAGCTGAACTCAGGACCTCTAGAATAGCAATCAGTGCTCTCTTAACCTCTGAGCCATCTCTCTAGCTCTGAAAAAAGTCAATATTTTGTATAGAAAAATTACTCAACCTTTGTATTAAAACACTTTGTTTATGAAAGCTATGTCAAGAGAAAATGTCCTGTTTTATTGGCTCTTAATCAAATATCTCACAATAATTATTTTTTGTTGTTTCACTTAGACTATAATGACTACTTCACAATTTTTTCCTTAAAAATCCATTTTGAGGCTTGGTGCTTAGTCGGTAGGCTGCTTACCCTACAAACTGACTCCATGGCTTTAGTACCCAACAAAAGCATTTGATTTTTTTTAATGTAAAATTTTAACAGCCAGATTATTTAGTACTGGATAGTCCTGTAATTATTTAATCACTTAAGGATCTAGTCCTTTAGCCTCATTTTGGTCACTTTAGCTGCTTTCTCCATTTGTAGTCTGTTCAAAATACTACAGCACCAAAAATGGTTTATTAGAGTATCAGTGTTCTGATCAAACCAACACACCTGAATATGTATTTGATTTGTTAAACATACCTCATTGTGTCTTTAAAAAACCTGGAGTGAGGTTGCTGAATCATTTAATAATTTGAGTAACCCATGTGTATTACTGATACTAAACAGTGTCTCAGTTATAATCACCTCATGAATCTACATTTCATTTTACTGGCTGTCTTGGTTTCTGTAGACCACAAGGAAAGAAGATAATTACAGTGCATTTCCCTCTGCTGCCTGTTAAAGTGCAGGTATGGTGTTTAAAGGGACCACACCATAGCTGATCTTCTCAGGACACAGTGCAACTCCTGTGCTTACCCAGTTAAGCACTATTTAGTTTGCCACATCACAGTTTGATTTATCATGATCCAAAATTCCCGGAGATGAGGTACATTGAAGTTACTGAAAAACATTGACTTGAACTTAGGATATGTCTTAAGAGCTTATTTGCAGGAAGTACTTTTACAAATAAGAAGATAATTATTATGTGACAATTATTCAACAAGACGACTTTGTTAGGGTATAAACCAATTAAGCTCCTTACTGTTGAAAAACAGGTCAGACATAATACATGTCAGCACTTTGATGTGAGGAAACCAGAGCAACGGCTGGAAGGTTTCAAGCTAAAGAAAATAGTTATTAATTGCCTCTCAGCCCAGTGTTACCCCAACATAAGAACTGAATTGCTTTCTTCTGGAAGAAGTACAGCATGGTCATTTACCCTAGAAGGGATTTGCTCTCCAAGGCTGTTTCTACCAAGTATTACTTTCATCTGTTGAATTTCACTTTCTTTTTTGCTCCTGTACACCACCTGCACATATTCTTATTTAATACTTCACTGCAGTGTTGGAAAAATTATGATATATGGTGAATATGTGCATGCTTTTTTTCCTTTTTAATTTAAACTAGAAACAAGATTGTTTTACATGTCAATCCTAGTTCCCTCTCCTTCCCCTCCTCACCCCCTTCACCAGTACCCTATCCCATCCCCTTTCTGCTCCCCAGAGAGGGTGAGGCCTTCCATGGGAGATTTTCAAAGTCTGTCATATCATTTGGAGCTGTAGTAGGCTGTGTGTAGGCTGAGAGAACATCCTTCTATGTGGAATAGGCTCCCAAAATCCATTCATATAATAGGGATAAATACTGATCCACTACCAGAGGCTGCATAGATTGACCAGTCCTCTTCACTGATACCCATGTTCAGTGGATCTGGGTCAGTCCTATGCTGGTTTTCCAGCTATCAGACTGGGGTCCATGAGCCTCCCCATTTTTCATGTCAGCTGTCTGTGGATTCGTCCAGCCTGGGCTTAACCCCTTTGCTCATCACTCCTCCATCTCTGCAACTGGATTCCAGGA